TACCTGGCCAGTTCTGCCTGACTCCCCTCCCCTCCCACAGACGCGCGGGTTTCCCCGGCCTACCCGGACGGGAAGTGACAGCAGTTGGGTTGAACTTCATCTGGACAGAGAAGGAGGCGAGAAATTCCGCTCTCAGGAAAGCAGCATGAGTAATCCCCGCACGGTGCCAGGCTCACTTCCTCATCCGCGCCTACCTCACCTGCTGTCACCTTGCCTACCCCGCCCTGCAGGGGTCCCAGGGTGGCCAGGCTGTGGGCCTTGAGACTCGCCCTTGAGGCATAAGCACCCTAGGAGAGCAGTCCTGGAAAACGTATTAATCCCAAGTGCCAGAGAGAGAGAGTGTGAGGCAGGAGGATGGCCAAGTGTTCGAGGCCAGCCTGCACTACAGTGGAGCTCTGCCTCAAAATAGCTAGAGTTTCACACACACACATCTGAGCAGTACAGTGTCCTCGAGGCTAAAAGCAAAGCTGAGGCTGATTTTTACCTGAAGTCCGTGACTTTGTACAAGACCCAAAATGCCTTGATTCTCGTCTTCAGTAATTAGGATTTAAGTTTACCTTTCTCGACAGGCGTTGGTGGGTCACGCCTTTAATCCCAGCACTTGGGAGGCGGAGGCAGCCGGCTCTCCGTGAGTTCGAGGCCAGCCTGGTCTACAGAGAGAGTGCCAGGATAGGCTCCAAAGCTACACGGAGAAACCCTATCTTGAAACACCCCCCCCCAAAAAAAAAACAAAGAAAAGAAAGATCTGGGCTAGAAATGGGCCTTCCCACTTCAAATGATTTAATTAAGAAACAAGAAAAGTAAATTTACCTTTCTCTCCCTGTTTCCCACCCCTTTTAAAGGGGGAATTGTATGGGGCAACTTTATGAGATAAATGACCTAAGCCATTATTTCAAATATGTAATTATTAAATGTTAGTGTATAAATGGGAGAGTTGTGGATAGAAACAACTGAAACATGCCTTGGAGTATAAGGAATAATATACTAAACCAGCACAGTGCTGATGCATGAAAGCTTCTTGGTAAATTTCTGCCAACAGATTTTGCCGTGCCAGAGGCAGGATATTGTGTGACTAGTCATGGTGACATATACCAGCAGTCTATGCTTATGGGAGGTAGAGACAGGAAGGTCACAAGTCTCAGACCAACTCTGTTTAGTGAGAGTCTGTCTACTCCCAAAAAACACCCTCCAACCCCCAGTGTTAAGAGAGTCATTAGCCAGCTGTTGGTGGGGCACACCTTTAACCCAGCACTAGGGAGGTAGAGGCAGGTGTATCTCTGTGAGTTCAAGACCAGCCTGGTCTACAAGAGCTAGTTCCAGGACAGCCTCCAAAGCTACAGAGAAACCCTGTCTCGAAAAAACAAAAATAAACAAAAAAGTCATTAAACTGAAGTTAAGTGTACAGCCAAAGTCCAGTAATTAAAAAGTGCTATGTAGGGAGACACCCTAGCCCCGCCCAATAGCAACTCGGACAGGTGCCAGGTGGACCCGGGATCTGGGCGGGAAGATTCTTAAGGGCTGCACGTGGAGACCTTGGCCCCCTTCTCTCTAGCCAGGCTAGCTTGGTTCCTGTAAGCTTGCTCTGGCCTGTGTTTTGCTCTGGTGTTTTCCTGAATAAAGAAATCTTACCATCACGGACTATAGGTCATCTCTGAGCGCACGTGGTAATCTTAAAAGTGCTAACTATAGATGAAAACCTTCCCACATTTATTGTGTCTGAATGATGGGATTACACATGTTCTTTGCACATCAGATCTGTACTCATGGCAAAAATAGACTTTTTCTTGATCTTTGTAAAAACAGGCAGTGCTTCTTTTCCTCAGTACCATGTTAACCAAAAACACCTGTGAGTCAGAATGGTACCCTTGGGTTTGTGGCCTTGGATCACCTGTGGCTGGGCCCTTGCGCTTGGGAGCCCCTGCTTTAGCATCAAGAGTAGCTGGCATCACAAGAGTGAGCCATGACCAGGCCTCAGCTGATCTCTAAATCAGATCATAAACTTTTGTCTTATACCAGAAGTTATATAGTTTCCACTTTTTTACACTCACCTTGTTTCCGGCCAAAAGGAAAAAATATATATAAGATTTACTCTACTGCATGTTTTACCTTCCCTTAAACTTGGGAGGTGTCACACATCCAGTTCTTTTTCTGGCTTGTAAACCCTTCTGTGTTCTTCAGCTAACAGCCATAGGCACACGAAAACAAATAGCACAAGATACTTTGTTTCTTCTGTGGTTACTGATTTAGTGTGTGTGTGTGGTGGTGGGAGGTATTAACTGTGGGGAACAGTAAACCTTTCCCTGGGCTTGCTATTTCTGTATCCTCAACACCTAGCAAAGTGCCTGCCTAACCACCTAGTAGATGTTTAATAAATATTTCTGAGATAAGTTTTGTCTAAGTTTTCTGAACCTGTTCTTGACAATGAAGATTGTGTGTCTTACTTAATCATGTTCTTAGGTGTATGTGAAACACAATAGTTGCCATTCATGTCCATGCTAATCTTGATCTTAATCTCTCCACTATCATTTTCCTTTTCCCTAAATAATTACTTCTGCTCAGTTCTATTTTTAAAATATTCCCAGGAAATACTGGTAAGCCAAATTTAATACAGTTTAACTTTTACAAAAGCCTCTGATAATTTACAAAGTAAATAGTTGACTTCTATTCATAGTTTCACAATATTATTGAGGATATTTAAAATCTGTACTAGAAAGAACAGACAGAAATAAGTCTCAGAATATAAAGTACTGCTTTAAACTTGATTCTTGTCTGATAGCTATATTTTAATCAAAAAACTGGGAAAAAATCTTTGGAACCAACTTATGAAGAAAATACCTATTAAGATTTAAATCAAATCCAGCACTTGGGAGGTGGAGGAAGGAAAATCGGAGGTTCAAGATCACCCTAGGCTATATACTGAATTCCAGGCCAGCCTGGGCTACAGGAAACCCTGTCTCAAATTAACAAGAGTTTAGATAATTGAGGTAAGAAGACTAGTGTGAATTTAACATGCTTCATGTCTTATTTGAGTGACTGTGATATATCACAGAACATGCCTTCAGTATGTGCCTTTATTCATGTGTTAATGGAATGTTAACACTGCTTTGAACACTAGGATTGTATATGTTGAGCAAGAAATCCTGTAAAAAAAAGATTACTATATTTTCAAACTTTACTGGAAAAAATGTAAATGAATGGAATATTTTCAATTCTAAATTTTTCCTCCAAATGTTTGATTCTCTTTGCATGTACTTGCTTTTACGTAAGGTTCATATATTATTTAGGATAAAGTCTGATAAATTACTGTTTTGATGTTTGAATCAGGTGTTCTACATCAAGGGCATCTCACTTTCCAAGTGTGTTTAGAAGCATGACTAAATTCCCTAGACCTCATCAAACATAAATATCAGGTAGTCTTATGGAAGGCACCTGTGTCAGTGCCACCTCTCCATTCAGTGCCTCTTCACATTGGACCTTTGAAGTGGCAAGAGTGTACTCACATTGTCTTAGCTAGGGTTTCTACTGCTATGATAAACACTATGATATAGCTTGGATGATGATTAGTTACTGTTCCATTGCTGTGAAGAGACGCCATGACCAAGGCAATTTTTAATAAAGAAGGCATTTAGCACAGAGGGCTTGCTCACAGTTTCAGACGATTAATCCATGATCATCATGGTGGGAAGCAGGCAAACAGGATGCTAGTGCAATAGCTGAGAGCTTTACATGCGGGTTCACAGACAGCAGGCAGAGAAGATGAGACACTAAAAGGCCTGGCTTGCCTTTTTAACCTTAAAATACATTTTCAGTGACATATCTCCTCCTAAAAACCCACACCTCCTAATCCTTCTCAAATAGTTCCACTCCCTGGTGATTAAAAATTCAAATAGATGAGCGAATGGGTGACATTCTTATTCAAACCACCACAGGGGAAGAAAGGGTTTATTCAAGCTTACAACTCTCAGATCATATTCTACTGAAGGAAGCCAGCGTAAGGATCTGGAGGTAGGAACTGTTGCAGAGTCCATAAAGGGGTGCTGCTTACTGGCTTGTTCATCATGGCTTGCTTAGCCTGCTTCCTAATAGCACCCAGGACCTCCAGCCTAGGGATGACACTGTCCACAGTGGGCTGGGCCTTCTCACATCAGTCATCAATCAAGAAAATGCACTACAAGCCATTCAGGTGGGGGTCATTTTCCCTTTTCTCAAATAACTCTATACTGACCAGGATGCATGTAAAGAATGCCAAGACCCAGCTGCGCTGCTTCTCTGTAATGGCTCACGTGACACTGGATTTGCTGTTCACAATGTATCAAAGGAAGGTGGTGGTCACCTCACTGCTGCAGTTCATCCAGATTCTTCAGCCAGGTCCCAGAGCAATGCTTAACCAACAGTCCTCGCAGGGCGTTGGTGGCGCACGCCTTTAATCTCAGCACTCAGGAGGCAGAGGCAGAGGCAGAGGCAGGTGGATCTCTGTGAGTTCAAGGCCAGCCTGGTCTCCAGAGCGAGTGCCAGGATAGGCTCCAAAGCTACACAGAGAAACTCTGCCTCGAAAAATCAAAAACAAAAACAAAAAAACAAAACCAACAGTCCTCCTCAGGACCCATGCCAACTTCTCTAATCAAGCCTCCTTGGAGGTGATGAAGGGAAACACGTTTTCCTCATGCCTCCAGGTAATTTTTACTATGCACTGCACCCACAAAATTTCTCTCTGACAAGGCTTCTGCTTTTAGTAGAAGTCGATGAACTGTTAACAGGTGGGGCTGTTGAACATAAGTAGCATTTTTTCAAAACATCAGATATAGAAGCATAAATTTATTTGGGGAGATATTTGCAGAATGTCCATGATCATCTCTAAAAGCTAACACAACAGTAGCTCCTAGAGAAGATATTCTTGATTGATATCATGTGTGAACAAGAGTGGCATGCTGTCAATTCTCAGGTGATTGACACCAGAGAGCCCAGTATGAACAAATGGTTACAAGCGGAGTGTACTTAGTACAGTATTGGGGTCTGGCATTCGGTTTGCATTTCTGTCTTTGCCCCTTTGTTTCAGTCTCTTTCTTTGTTTGCCATCTTGACTTTTCTGAGCAGCTGACTGATTTTGTTACAGAGTGCATCTGTTGTTTGGCTTACACCCCTGGCTTTCTGTAACCCATAGTCTCAGTTACAGACACTGCCAGTATTTACCCCTTGAAGCATATGTAGCTAAAGCTAAAAGGAAAAATAGTAGCCTGTTTTAAATCTTTCACCACCATGTTCAGGTCATATGAAAAAGTTTGTGATAGAAAAATCCCATGTTCAGTTAGATCCACAACCCCAAGCCCTGGTCTGACCTTGCTCATCTTTTCACCTCCTTGCTTCTGTTCTTTTGCTGCTTTCCTTTATCTTATATAATGTGGCCACACACTGTGCCCCACCCACTATTTTACTTTTTAATCATTCTCTTCCTCTGTCTTTCTTTGTCCCAGGTCTGACATAGCTCTGTTTGGATCCTTTCCCTTTATCTTTTAGGTCAAGGTTTTTAAAAATTGTTCCAACTCTGAGACGTCCTGCTTGTTTGCATGATGAGTACTCTTCCAACTGGTTAAACCCAGTCTCTTGCCTGACCCTGCTCTGAGAGGCTGGCTTCTGTGGACTGCATCACTCAGGCTCCTTCGCCCTCCGAGTCTGTTTGGTTTAGGCCAGTTTGGGAAGCATTGGCAAAAGATCAAAGGAAGGAAAGAGTCCAGAATATTTACTCCCTCCCTGTGACTGCAGCTTCATCTACTAGGGCCTGCAGCTCCTGCCAGATACCTGTGTCTTGTAGCCAAGTTCTAGAAACTGCTTATCTCCCTTGTACCTTCAGGCCTAGAGATGTCACGATTAGATTCTCTGTCATTCTCTGTCCCTTCCCTTTAAAGTTGTCTCCACCTTTGTAAGAACTCTCCTCATTAAACTCTCTTCAGTTATCCTTTGAAGGTGCCATCTGCTTCCTGCCAAGGACCCTGAGTAATATGTAAGTGGGAATTAGAAATTGTATTCAACCTTGTCAACAAAGAGTACCGGTCCCATTGATTCTACATTAAAATTTGAATGTGAGGTGAGTATCTTGTGTTATCCTAATGCATGTTCTTCAGGCAAAATCTGGCAGACACTAATTATTCAATAACTGTAGAATGAAGGCTCTATCCTTATCTAAAATCTAGGTGAGACAACTTCAAAATAGTAATTTAAACCAGAGTCTGTGTGTACATGAGACAAAGTTAAGTTTCATAATGACAGAATACTTTTAATGGCAGAACTGTCTGTTTTTACCACATGGCTATTTGCAATAATGACTTTACTTCTTCCCTCCTTGCATGGGCCTAGGTGCCACCATGCTACTAGTTGTGACTAGTGTGATAGAAGTTGAAGTGGTGTGTGCAGCACTGGGGACAGTCTTCTAAGGAAATGACTCACCATTCTTGTACTTCCCCCTGTTGGTTGAAATCAGACCTGCCATGCCAGGCTCCAAAAAGAAGGCAGAACCCAAGTGAAGGAGCAGGGTTCTTGATACTGAAATACCACAATCAGCCCCAGATTTCCAAGGAGAGAGAGAGAGAGAGAGAGAGAGAGAGAGAGAGAGAGAGACCAAGGATAAGCCACCATCATCAGAAGTTGTGTTGATACTCAGCCAGCATCACTCCTGCTTAGTGTGGGTATATTTTTATTCTCTTGGCTGCTGTGAAAATCTGGCCCACCAATGAATTGAAACCACATTCAATAGTTTATCATCCTGGAAGACAGAAGTCCAAAATGGATGCCACAAGGCTAAATTATTCTTTATTGACGTTTTGGCAGGATTGGGGGAATCAGAAAGCTTTAGGGGAGAACATTTCTTTGTCTTGTCCAGCTTTGAAGGCCACTCATAGTCCTTAGCTGGCAGGCCTCTTTCTCTGTCTCCAGACTCACCAACATCTGCAGAGCCTTGATCCAATGACCTGCTCACTGGTCCTCTGTTCTGCTCATCTAACCCACAAGGTGGATGTTTCTGTGATGAACTTAGCCCTGCCTGAATCATTCCAGCTGCCTCCCTACTTTAAGATTATCTGGTAAGTTCACTTCCACCTGTAACTTTATGTCCCCTTTGTCACATGACTAATGTATTCACAGGTTAACTTTGGGAGGCAGAGTAATATATGTTTAAAGTTTTGTGATCAAGAAACAAGTATTTATTAACTTGTTCATCTTTAACTTTAATTTCTATGCAGCTTTCCAGTATTGTGCTAATTAGTCATTACTTTTTATGGCACATAGGAATCTTTAATAATTAAATATTAATTACTTTTTTCAGTTTCTGTTCCTGAGAGCATTTTATGAGATAGATACAGCATGGATCTATAAATATCTAGCACAGTCCCTGACTTCAAGAAACTTACAGATTGTGGGAGAAGCAGATTTGTCAAAAGCAATAATACAAAAATGACAGGGAGGCATGGTTATACATAGGAGATACTGACTAAGGTAGAAGATGTCTGTATTGGAAATGATGGAGTTTGTCAGAAGTCAAGTGGAGCAGAGAGAATTAAGGGTGAAAATAACAGAATATGAAAAATCCCAGGATGAAAGCATAGCTCTTCTAGAGGTAAAACCATAGAAGTGAGGTTTTGACTATAAGGTGTTCTGGTTCTAGATGAGGCTGTGTAGGTGTGTGAGTAGGAGACAGATTGTGTGAATGATACTATGAGAATGTGGGACATTATATTAAAGTAAGTAGAGGACATTGCCTTGGCTCTTAAGAGGACTGCATTATACAAGATGTTAATTAGTAGTTCAAGAGGGGAAAATAAAAATGAGCAGGATGAACAGTAAGAGAACCCTAGCATTTTCTTTAGAATAAGCATGTAAGAAGGGATTCAAGAAGGAATAGCCATGTGGATGCACACATACCATGAGGATCCCAAGGAATCTCGGGCAGGGTCAGCATTCCCAGATGGTATTAACAAGTGTGTAGCTGTGTTACAAGTTAAGCATTGTTAATATTTCCTCTGTTGTCAGTATTACTAAAAATTGCACCAAGCTGCATATTCTTGTGGTGTTGCCAGCTCTTTAATAAGGCCTCTCCACCATGACAGACCCTCAAAATATATATGCTCCCTGAACATGTATTTAATAGGATCCCCGAATGTACCCATTGATTATTGCTGTTTTGTGGCTGTTATTTTTGTTCTAACACAGAGTGCCACTCCTATCCCTTTGAGATATGCTGTCTTCTAGGTTCCTGTTCTGCTTCCAAGAAGGTAGATTTGGATTTTTTGTTTGTTTGCTTGTTTCTGGGCTAAAAAGTATCTGTGCATGTCAGGTGCATTGGAGTTTCTAGGACCAGAAAGCAGTCTCCCTCACAGATGGATCTCCCTCACAGATCATTCTTCCATATACTCCTAAATGCCTTATCTGGCTACAGGTTTTTGTTTTATTTTATTTCAAATTATGTGGGTGTGGGCACATATATTTACATGAGTGCAGATGATTGTGGTGAGCAGAAGGTGTCAGAGTCCCTGGAACCTGAGTTACAGATCATTGTGAGCTGTTCAAAGTTCGTGCGGGGAGCAAACTAGTGACCTGTAGTTGGTTTTGTTTTACTCTCACTCTGCTCTTTGGGGGCCTGGCACTCAGCTCCCAAAAAATACATGGAGGCTTATTCTTATGAATGCACATGCTTAGCTTAGCTTGTTTCTAGCCAGATTTTCTTAAATTATCCACCTATCTTTTGCCTCTGGACTTTTATCTTTCTCTATTCTATGTACCTCTCTTTACTTCTTATTCTGTGGCTTCATGTATTGTTGGGTGACTGGCCCCTGATGTCTTCGTTTCCTCCTTTTCTCACTCCTCCATCTTCTCATTCTTCTTCAATTTATTCTCTCTACCTGGCAGCCCTGCCTAACCCTCTCCTGTCTTGCTATTGGCCATTCAGCTCTTTATTAGACCAATCAACTTTTTAGACAGGCAAAGTAACACAGCTTCACAGAGTTAAACAAATGCCACATAAAAGAATACAATACATCTTTGCATCATTAAACAAACATTCTATGGGAAAAAAATGTAACACATCTTAAAAATAATATTCCATAGCAGTGACCTCTGCAAGGTAGTACAATTGCTGCAGCCATGACCCTGAACATGTACACAAACATTCTTCTTTCCCCTTGTGGTGCTGGAGACAGAGCCTAATATCCTATTACTACATGTGCTTTTAGTTTTTTTTATTTTTGTTTTTTGCACCAATCTCTTCCCTTTTTTGTTTTTGTTTTTGTTTTTGTTTTTGTTTTGTTTTGTTTTGTTTTTTGAGACAGGGTTTTTCTGTGTAGCTTTGAGCCTATCCTGGCACTCACTTTGGAGACCAGGCTGGCCTAGAACTCACAGAGATCCACCTGCCTCTGCCTCCCGAGTGCTGGGATTAAAGGCCTGCGCCATCATCGCCAGGCTACCAATCTCTTCTCTTGCTCTGAGTTTTTTTTTTTTTTTTTCCATTTGTGACGCTTAAGCTGGCATCTGTGCAATGGGAGAGTGGACATTCTCATTACTGGTGACTCACTGCTTAATAAGCTTTTGTGAAGAACAAGGGGAGCAGGGGAGCAATGGAGCAGTATATGTAAGTTTGAATTGGAGTCTAGCACTTGGTAAACTGCAAATGAAAGGTCACAACAAAAACATCAAGTTCACAAAGATTAAATCTTTTCAGTGCTAATAAAACACTTAAAGGCCTAGTCTGGTGGAATTTGTACAAAGTGCTTTCTTCCCCAAGGCTAAAAGCAAATTCTTAACCCCTGAGAAAAACATCTCCTCAATCCAGGTGGAATGATTACATTGAGAGCAAAAGGGACAGCAAGCTAACCTGGTGAGCTTTAGCTGGAACGTTGTCTGGAGATGCAGTTGACTTGCAAGGGGTGTGCTGTTGACGGAACAGCATCTCCAGGCAGTAGACTCGTTCTAAGACAAAAGGCACCATCAATAGTGCAGATGGTGAGGTGGCATGTGGAACTTAACTATCCATCTATAAGTTAAAGTCTGTAAGAGAAACTCTGAATTTTATTTCTTGATTTGAATTTCACAGACACCAGTTTGAATGAACTGACACAAAATGAGTAATTTATAAAGATAAGAGGGTTTTTGTTGCTGTTTTTTAGATCCCAAGTGTAGGGATGGAGCTATAGGAACTCTTCCATCTCACTGTACCTGTTTCATTGTTTCCCTGCTGTGCATGAAGGTGGATAGTCTGCAAAGAGGTACATAGAGTCACTGAGATACATACAACCACGGCATCACTTTACAGTGCTTAGAGGAAACCAAGATTTTTTTTAGCCCAAATTGTGTGATTAAAGATTGTATTAAATCTTTTATACATGAGCAGGTTACGTAATTATAACAATATTAATTTGGGAATGTGCATAAACATTTACTGCTACATTTACTACTACACTGATTTTACTTTCCAGTCAAATTTTCCCTTAGGTCTACATGACCTTTGTATTTTTTTTACTGGACTATAACATTCCACAATTGATAAATGGACTGTCACATATTTTTGAAAGTTTAAATTACTAATAATGTTTTATTTGGTAAAGAATAAAAACTGCTACTGTACAGTTTTTGTTTTGGTTTGGGTTTTGGTAATTTTATGAAAAAATATCCTTCATCCTGTAATGAATTAATAAATGGGAATGAACATGTTTGCTCTCCCCTTTTGCCATTCTCTCTCTATAATGTAGCTCTGGCTATCCTAGAACTTGATATGTTGATCAGACTGGCCTTGAACTCACAGAGATCTGCCTGCCTCTGCCACCAGACTGCTTAGATTAAAGGCATAAACTACCATGCCCAGCTTAAAGGGGAGAGACAGTGTAGGTACTGGGAAACAAACTCTTATTTTTAATTGCAAGCCTGCCTTTTAATGGATGAGCCATCTCTCCAGTGAACTGTTTTATAAAGGTATGGCTTTTGAGAAGGATTGTGTTTCTATGTGATGTATATGAGAAAGTCTCACCATGATTAAATTTTTTTTCTAAGGTGGGATCTTATTTACAATGGCTGGAAGCATATGAATTCCTTGTTATTTTATAAAGGATGGCGTTGTAGTTCGATTTTTATTGCTATGATAAAACACCATGACCAAGCTAACCTGGAGAGGAAAGGGTTTATTTCAACTTACAATTCTCAGGTCAGTCTATCACTGAGGGCTTGAACTCAAACAGATCACATACCTGGAGGTGGGAACTGAAGCAGAGGCTAGGGAGGAGTGTTGCTTACAGACTTGCCCCTGCTTTTACAGAAAATCCAGTCTGCTTTCTTATAGTACCCAGAACCACCAGCCCAGGGGAGACACTACCAGAATAGGCTGCCCCCACCACAATCATCCATCAAGAAAATGCCCTACAGACATGCTTACAGGCCTGACCTATGGAGGCATTTTCTTGATAAAGATTCCTTCTTTCCTGAGGCCATTACCTTGTGTCAAACTGACATCAAAATTACCCAGCACAGGTAGAAAATATTGAGATGGGACAAGAACCTATGTGAACAGTGTACTCTGCATTAAATTAATTCACACATAGAGGCTTTTGTTATTGTTGTTTATAATACTAGAGACCAAACTTGGATTCTTTCTAATGTCAGGCAAGTACTCTGCCCATGAACCACCTCCTCTGCTCTGATATTAATTTGAAATTAACCCATTTTTATGAAGGTTTTCACAGAGGACTGGCTTTGGCTTCTGACTAATACTTTATTATTTTTATTAAGTTTTCTTTGACAATTCTCATACACATGCATAATGTATTTTGATTACTTTCACCTCCCCTCTCTCTCTCCTGTCTCCCTCCTATCCCCACTAACCCCCTCTTCCTCTTTATAGGGCATTTTTCTATATCCATGTCTTTTTTTTGTCTTTCAGCCCACTGAATCTAGCCACTGCAAGACAATGGGTGTGGAACTCTCTGCTGGAGTCTTTTGGACTTCCCAGTGGGTGCACAACTGAAAAAAAAAAAGTGACAGTCTCTTCCACAGCTTCTGTCAATAGCCAGTAGTTCCCCAAGGAGGGGTAAGGCCACAGAAACACCTCTTCCATCCAGGACTGTTGGCAGGGCCAGTATTATGTATGCGCAGTGAAGGCATCTGCGGTGGCTTGAGTTTGTGATTGCAGTAGCTGTGTCTGTGTCCAGAAAGTAGAGCTTCCCAGTCTTTCTCCCCATCATCAGACTCTTACGTTTTTTCTACCCTCCCTTCCTTGATGTTCTCAGGCCTTAGAGGAGGGTGATATAAATACCCTGTTTAAAGCTAAGCACTCAACTTTCGCTTAATCTCAGTACCTTGAACAGCTGTGAGTCTCGGCACTCACTGCAAAGAGAAGCTTCTCTGGTCAAGGCTGAGAATATATGCCCATTTAGCAAAACAACAGTAGTCAGTTACCCCTCCAGCCAATGAGTCTTGACCAGATTGGCAGTACAGTGCATTTTCTCCTATAGCATGGGCCTCAAATCCAATCAGCAGTCTGTCATCTCCTCAACAGTCATGGCACTATTACACCAGTGGCACATCTTGCCTGGCATGTTGGCAATGTGGTTGTACAGGATTGTTGATGACTGCCCCCCAACAGCCTGCAATGCACCTTCCAGCACTATGTTTGTTTGCTACTCAGTAGGGTTCCAGTTTGATTTCTGTGTATGGCCATTTGTCTCATCAATGATCTGCCTAAACTTTGGCCAGATTATTTGTCCTGATTAGTTTATTGCCATCTTGACATAAGTCAAGAGTTGTTGGGAAAGAGAGACTCTCAACTGAGAAAATGCCTCCATAAGATTTGGTTATAGGAAATAGCCTATAGTACATTTTCTTAATTGGTGACTGAAGTGAGAGGGCCCAGCCCATTGAGCGGTCATGTGCCCCCCACCCCCGGCAGATAGCAGTCCTGGGATGTATAAGAAAGCAGGCTGAGCAAGCCACTAAGCAGAGCTCCTCTGAGGTCCCTCCAGGTTCCTGTCCCAAGTTCCTGCCCAGGCTTCCCTCAGTGATGGAGTAACAAGTCATAATGAGAAATGAAACCTTTTCTTCCCTGAGTTACCTTTGGTCATAGGGTTTTTATCATAACAGCAATAGAAACCCTAACTAAGACAATATTCTTAAATTTAATTCTTAAATGCAGTTGAACTTGATAATATTTTTCTTATTAGGATACTTTATGTGGTATTGTTATAAATCATGAAAAGTGCCCATAAAGAGCCTTATTTTTAGGTCTTTATTTGCTATTCCACAGAATTACGGCGTGGGTTCGAATAATTGTTTCATCTTCAGAAACCTCACTTTATTGATGATAAAGTCATCTCTGGGTAAGGGTATGTTTATCTATTTCAACCTAAAATTTATATTTTTTAAATGTAAACACTTGTGTAGCTTAGTCACTTCCCTTGTATTGAGTTAGTTGTTCAACAAATACCTTTTTCTTTTAGTAGCTTAAATTACCAATAAATATCTATGTTTTTTTTCTTAAAATGGCATACAATATGGAAGTTTTCTGGCAGGTATTTTCACTAGCAAACTTGAAACATTTTTAGCAAATGCCAAAAAGTAATGTTTGAACATATAAAGCATCAAATGTTTAGCATAAACTTTATAAATAACAAAATGCTTAGTAGAAGAAATTACTCATATTGTCACTAAAAATGATGAAAAACATTGACCACATGAAAAAATATTCTCCTGAGCTAATGAAGTGAATTTATTATAGGTATTTCCTTTTTCTTTTTATGGAAGACATATTCTTTTATTATTATGAAAGACATATTAAATTTTTAAAGTACATAGCTTTGAAATATTTTTGTTAATTTTGTACTGCCTAGTTTATTGTAAGTTTGTGTTCCCTTATACTCACTCACTTTCCCTGGACTTTGGGTGTGTTATCAGTGCAAATCAAAGCCTAAGGCCACGTTTTTTTGGAGAAGGTGCTGGCTCACAGCATGTTCTGATTCCATCTGTTCCTTCCATTGCCGAAGAGCAGACTGGAGATAATCATCTAACCGACAGACACCGAGTGCAGAGTGTGATGGCCATTAGCTAGAAAAGTGTTCGCTGAATTCCACTTGCTTTCTCATCCCTCCCGGGTCTGGCCTGGGAATGTACAGATCGGTGGTGTAGCAGCAAGAGGTCCCCTGCTGCCAAAAGGAAACAAGGACTAGGAAGACACTTTGGACCTCTTAATTTCCAGGCCACTTGATAGCAGCCACAGTTCATTACCCAGGAAAATTGCTTGATCTCTGAGAAAGGGTGCTGGAGGTGAGGGAAAATGAGTTTGCCACCAACACAGTTCACCTGGCAACTCAGTCATTTGGACCTAACTAGAGAACGATTGCAGCCGTGTTCCTGATGAGGCAGCAAGCTGCTTCCTGCAGTTACTCGGTGATCATGTGTATCCTGTGTCTAGAGTGTAGGGGGGGAAGTGAGGGAAGCAAAGGAAGACCCTCTCCCCTCTGCCACTCCCATCTGCTCTTCCTTTCATGGCTGCAAATCCTGTCTTTAATTCTGTTGTAACTTAAACTCAGTCACACCCAGAATTAGATTCCAAAGCACAATGTATAAATATTCAGATAAAAATAGGAACAGAGATACTTTATTGAGTAATGGCTGTATGTTTGTTTCCAAACATGTTCTCATGATATACAAAACTTTAGGCCTGTGGTGTAGCTCAGTGGTGGGGCACTTAACATGCAGAAGGGCCTGGGTTCAATTCCACAGCACCACCAAAATATTTTAAATGAATACTCTTACTTAATTCTTGTCTAGTGGAACAATTTCAGAAATATAATACATACCTTCCTGCTATAATGATTTCCTTGTGAGGACAACCCTATAATGTCCCTCCTTTTACCTCTCTTCATCTTCCATTTATTCTGGTCTCTCATCACTCAGCCCAAGTTTTGAACACCTGTTTTACAGTTTATTGTTTGACACCTATCTCTCAGACTACATACTGTCTATGGGTAATAGCTCCTGTTGTAGTCATGAGAGCATCTGCCTATAATAAACAGATGCACCATAGCTACCTCACTGTGGTGGGTGTCAGAAGAGGAACCTGATTGGAGGATGCTGTAGCAGCTGATCACAGTGTCTGCAAGCACAGACTAACCCAACATCACAGAAGAGGAAGTGCAAAAGCTTCGAAGGGTCCTTTCCAGATGAATTGCCCACAACACACGACTTCCCATTATATTTCAGCACCATGCACATTGCACTCATATGTTACATCCCAGAACCAAGGAAGAAAAGATTTGTTTTTTTCTTTTATGAATAAAATAAGCATCTTTAACATGACCCAATAAAGCAAAACAACAACAAAAATGGCGGCTCACTGTTGCTAGTATACTATGTAGAATGGGAAGGAGTCTCTGTTACTCATGAATGTTAGTACTCATGACAGAATATCTTTGGAATTTTGGAGATGCAGAGTGTCACAAATAGGTATTTCAGAGTGCATGCCTCTACCTGAGAGAACTGAGAGCTGAGAGAGAAGTCTGTAATCAAATCTCCTGAAACATGACAGATGCTGTTAGTCAGGGGTGGGAGTTCAGGCTTGTAATACAAGCATTATGGAGGCTGAGGTAGGGGGGATAATGGATTAAAGATAACCTGGGGTATATAGTGGGACCCCATCTTTTAAAAAAAAAAAGTCCTGCTGGACAGCTGTAGTGCCCTCCTTTAATCCCAGCACTTGGGAGGCAGAGGCAGATGGATCTCTGTAAGTTTGAGTCCAGCATGGTCTACAAGAGCTAGTTCCAGGACAGGTTCCAAAGCTACACGGAGAAAGCCTGTCTTGAAAAACAACACAAAGTCCTTATATTGTATATGAAGCCAAGAGGTAATAATTATAGTGATTCCTTTTGTATCAAATAAACAACCAACTCCATCACATAATTACTTAGTAGAACACTCAAGAAGCTACTCCCTCAAGGTGCATATTCAGTTGAATACAAGAGTAGTTAAGAAATGGCAAAAGCAGGAATTAGGGAAGGAAGCATGCTCTGAGAGACCACAAGATAAGGGGGTCATGAAAAGGAATTTAAGCACCAAAGCAAACTTCCTCAAAAAGGTGTATCACAGAATGACCACTAGTCAAAAGATAACAGAGCAGGAAAATCTCAGAAGCCCACCCAGAGTAGTTCATGGTAAATTTTTAGATTTTTAAAATCATTGTATCTGAAAATCAAGGTTGGTTTCTATGAGAGTAAAAATCGTTTTTACACACATGTGCAAACACATACAGGATGCAATGATCAAGAGTGTTAAACAAGAACTAAACATTAACTCAGTATCTGAGAAAACGGTAATTATTATATACAGGTAAGGACCAGTGACTGTGGGATGTGTGGCACTCATTGGGAAAAATGCAAATATAGATGAAACTAACACAGTTTCCCCCCAGAAAGGCACATCACTAAAGAATACTTTTTAAAAGGTAACAGAGTGGGGCTGGGAAGATGGATCCAGGTTAAGAGCACTTGCTGTTCTTCCAGGGGACCTGGGCTTGATCCCCAGCATCTATTTGGTGGCTCACAACTGACCATAGTTCCGGTTCCAGGAGATTTGACACCCTTTTTTGGCCTCCAGGACACCAGGCATGTATGAGGTGCATAGCCATACATGAAAGCAAAACACCCATACTTAACAAAGTGCTGGGGAAATTAGACATTCCATCTGCAGGAGTGTGAAATTAGATTTTCATCTCACAAATAAAAAAAAAATCAAAAGAAAGACCTATCCACATGACCTGGAAATATAAAACCTTTAGAAGGACAGATAGAGGAATCACTCCTGGACAGATTTGAGGAAATAGGTGTTTTCATCTGACTCCCAAACAAAAGCAAAAATTAATCAATGGGATCACAGCAAAGCAAGACACCTCTGCACAGCAAAGAGAGTGACCCAGAGTGGAGAGATGGCCTGAGGACTAGAGGGTGTATTTGAAAGTTATGCATTGCTGCAAATTCGCATGGAGCAACTCTCTGTAGCAGGACAATGTGGACTGAACAGCCAGTGGGACTGAACAGACTGAGCTCAAAACAAGTTACAGATGCCCAACAAGTATGTGAAAGCATGTTCAACATCATTAACCAGCAGGCAAACACAGATGGAAGCTACCTTGAAGTGTAGACTCGCTCCAGTTAGGATGCCTGTTACCCAAAGATGAAGGATAATACGTGAAGATGTGGAGGACAGGAGCCCTGGTACACACTGGTGGAAATGCACACTGGCGTGGCCATTCTGGAAGACAGTGCAGAGGTTCCTGGACTATTTAAATGTAGAACTCCCACTGCTCTGGGTATATATTCCAAGAACATGAGTGGTGTGTTGCCATTGCATGCTTATTTCAGTGTTAGTCACAATAGCCAAGGTGTACAAGCAGTAAAAGTGTCCAAAAGTTGATGAATTAATAAAATTTATTGCATAAACCCAGTGGAATACTATTCAACCTTCAAGAAAGAGAATCCTGCCATTGACAATATGAACTGGGAGCACATTATATTAAATGCAGTAAGCCAAGCAGAGAAAGAGCCACATAATCTGGCTGATATGTGGAATCCAAGGATGTCACACTCTGAGACACTGAGAACAGAATGGTGGTTTCCAGAAATGAGTGTTGGGTGGGAAGATGCTGGCCAGTGATAGAGTGTTAGGTTAGGAAGAGCTTGGCAAGGAACTGCACTGTATGCCATGGTGATCATAGTTCCTAATATGCACATATTCTTGATATTTGTGGAGGTTAAGTGTGTTCCCTGCAAAAATAAGGCATATGAGGTAGCATATACCAGTTTACACACACTTGTAACTGCATGCTGTAATGCCAGTTTAAACAATGTATAGAAATCAAAGACAAAATAGCAAAGACAAAAGAGAGGAAATTATAGTGGATTCCATTACCTACATGACTCCCGAATAGGAACCACTGCTGTCTCATGGAACGTCAGTGTGGGAGGACATTACAGAATGTGTAGTTCTAGGTGGTTCCCAGGAAACTGAACAAAGCTGTGTACCTAAGTAAGATAAAAATCAAGACATACATTAAGCCAATGATGTGAAAACACAATTCAGCTGACTGATTTGGATCCAAGGGAGAATTTTGACTGTCATAAAGATGGATGCTGCAAAGGAAGCATTTGTCCATTTTACTAACAAATGCTTCTTGCTTTGCTCTCATGGCCTGGTCAAGGGACCTCACAGATGAAAGCCCTACCCAGCACATCGATGCCAGAGAGAAACAACAAACAGCAAACAGGCAAGTGAACAATGCTAGAAGATTAGACACCCCAGACAAGAGACAGGAAGGAGGTGCTGAGGCTTTGGAACCCCCTCTAAAATTACAGAAGGTGAAAACCCCAGGGCCCGGGCACTGTTCTCAGAAAGATGCAGGTATAGGGTGCTGGAAGGGGCCAGGTTTGGAAGCTGTCCAGTAAATTGACGTTTCGGGCCTCAGTAGTTCTTAGGTTCAAAGTCAGGTGTCATAGCAGAAAACAAGGTGTAGATAAACACAGATTATTCTGTGTTTAGGGAAATTCGATCTTTCATGAATTCTATAATAAACAAAACCTGTGGTGTTGTCTATTGATTGAATCCCTAACACCTGTTCTTTTTTTATCCACGTTAGTTTTGTTTTCCATTTTGGCAAATACTAATTCACTGCTGCTTTAAAAATGAAATAATTGAACATATGTGCAACTGTAGTTCTAAAACGTTTACATTTCCCCCATCAGATTTAATGAAAATGTAATTGTCTATGTTCATATGCTTAAGGAAATGGGGGTAATTTATATAACTACCATGGATGAATATGTATGCTCGTCTATTTTGGCAGAGAGTGAACACAAGGGAGAAGGCTAGAGACCTGCAGTCTCACCGAGCTTTTGCTTAGCCCTTAATTGCATCCAGCTATGTTGGTGCTGTAATAGTCCCACCTGGGGTCATTGTTAATAACACTTGTTCAAAACTGTGTGGGAACTTCTGCCTCCTTTTCTAGCTAATGAAAGGGCTTTAGAATTAGGAAACTAACCTATTGTTATTAAACTGCAATAGCAACAGTTGAAAGCGCTTTGTGTCCTTTACTAATTAAAATCTCACTTGATCTCCATAATAGTACAATGGCTGGAAGATTCCCTGGAAACTGAGGGTCATAGAGGTTACTAAACCAATTTGTCCATCCTAGAGTCATGGGGATGGGGGCACAGTGTCTTGTTGGGTTGAGGTGAATATGACCTTGGCCTTAACAGACATCTAAATTATTTCTCCCGAAGTGATTTGGATCAGTTATGGAGTGTGGAGAAGTGTGTAACAAGGCTGACCAAATGCAGGCAAGGTTAGTCTAGGTGAGAACTTGTTATTTAGTGCTTGAGAGTATTTTCTTTGGCCCCTGTCTTCTGTTCTCTACCCAGCTAGCAGCTCACCTCGGCCCCACTTCCCTCCACCCCTCAGGCTGCAGGGATGGAGCTACTCAAAATTCCAATAATCAAAGAATCTGATTATGCACAAGAGCTTTGGCTGGCTTAAGTGTTAAGTTCACTTAGCATATGGACTAGAAGTGTCCTGAAAGGGACACAATACAATTCACTATTGTTAAGATTTAAAAACCTCAAAGAAACTGGTTGTTACAAAGTGAGTATTTTCAATATCAATTTTTAGCTACTTTGTATATAATTTGAGTCGAGCTAAAAACTTTCATAATTCAAGTTGGCAAAATGTGCTGCCCTTAATGCTTACCAGGAGAGATGCAGAATTGCAAGGCACTGTGTCACTTTCTCCCGTTACAATAAGTTAGTATAAGAAACTTCAGCCACTGTAGTCTTTGCCTCAGGCCTCTTTCTCACTTAGTTATTAGATATACTTACAAAGGAAAAAAATGTTTGTTTCCTGAAACAGTGACAGAAAACAAACAAACAAAAAACCAAACAAAAAAACCTAATGGGCTTTTTTATTTTTATTCAGAACTTTCTGGATTTTTTTTTTTTTTACTCTACCAAGAGATTAGTGAACAAGTTTGATTGCATATTAAATAAGGAGAGTTGCAGCCTCATTCCAGACAATTGACAGGAATAGTAAGATGGCCCTCCATGGTGCTCAGGAGGTATGCTGCTGACTTGGGGGGTTTCTGCCTCATTTGCTTCTGGCCTGGACACAAGACAGAGTGAGCTCCTTTGCTTAAAGCCTGAATCCTACAGCTTCTTCTTCATCAAGACTTTGTCCGTGACATGACCTCCTTTAACAATCCCAGCACTCGGGAGGCAGAGGCAGGCGGATCTCTGTGAGTTCGAGACCAGCCTGGTCTACAAGAGCTAGTTCCAGGGCAGCCTCCAAAGCCACAGAGAAACCCTGTCTTAAAACAAACAAATTCCCTTTAGAGAGATCATCCAATAGATAGGTGGTCCTTAGTTCTCAGTTCTTCTGACTCGAGTG